AGCCTCTGCTGGCTTCTTTTCTAATTATTTCCTTTCATCTTCTCACTTTCTCTCAGGCCATTAAAGGAAAAAAAGGATCAGATTTGGAGGTACAAAGGAGTATGTGTTTAACGAACATGTTCAGAGGCGACAATAACAGCAGCTGAAGTACATTCACTCTGTAACATCATAACCGTATAATCCCAATACATACTTTTATACGCAGCCATTATAAAACAGGTTTCACAACAACAATCTGTTAACCACTAAGAGGTTGTGATATATTGTATATCAATCATTTTTCCAGTAGTGCTGACATAAATAAAGGTTAATAATTGGTCTCTGTGCAGTGATATACAAATTTTAGGGCTGTATTTTAATGTGACTGGATTTTTTTGATCAATCACCATCCAGTGACTAGAATGATGTTAAATTATATTTAGTTTCCATTGTATGTGTAAAGACACACATTTTTTTCAGTTAAGAAGACAAATTTGCATGTGTCTCTCAACGCATGCACATTCTGACCATGTTCATGTAATAAAAGCCTCTAGATTTACCCACATATTAATCCCTTCTTTAGTTTATTGTGGCATTGCTTTACTGATATCTACTGTGCTAGAGTAAATTAATTAATGTTACAATGTAAATTCGGACTTTTCTACCTGCGAAAGAACGTTGACCTTAACAACTAACTAGGACATGACAAATTTAGAGTGACATCACACACAACCTACTGATTATTGATTACTGATGATTATTTCTCATGAACAAATATACCGTCTGATGTTTGCATATACGTGCATACCAATGTACCATTATGACATCCTTCATGAATAAATATGACGTCTGATGTTTGTACCGCATATGCAGATATAGTCTCAGATAGCAATGAAGCAACTAACACAGACAAACAGTGCATGTTGATATGGTCGAGCGTTCCATTTAAAGGGGACATAACACACGCAGTTTCTGCCAATCTCATGTTAAAAGGGTCATATGATGCGATTTCAATCTTTCCTTTCTCTTTGAAGTGTCACTCTGGTGACGCCTGCTGGTATACACAACTGAAACGTGAATAAAAACACATTTTAAAAATAAAAAACAAATTAAAATGTTTTATTGAAACTGTAATCTATTAAATGTAATTAATTTGTGTGCCTGATTGCTGGAAGCTCCTAATGAAGGCGGTGAGGCTGATTAGACACAAACGGTTGGACAATAAATTAATTTAGCGATCAAAAATCTTTATAACAATAATAAACAGTCAGAACATGACATGTATTCAAAAGACAATTCCACTAGCTACAATAAAATAACTTGTCTTGTCGACAACATCTTTTCTTTTAAAAGAAGTAAACAAAAGCTCGTGTAATCGACAGCGACACCTAGCGGTTTGGCTGTATACTCGCAGAGAAAATGTATTTAACAAACACTCACAATAAGCCACAATGTGCCTGTAAAGAATAACCAAATTAGACTGAAAAAATGTTTGTGATAATTTATTTAGATTTGTTATGTCTTCATTCATCCCAGAGCAATCACTGAGTCAATGTCACCAGGTGACTGTGACCAAAGGAATTTGGAAGAGGTGCCCACAAAGGCCAGATTTGTAAAATATCTCACTTTTTAAATATCAGACATAATATTTAGTAGATTTATGAGCATTTGTTCTATTAATAGACAGATCTAAAAGCACTTGTGTACATTTGTTCTGCAAAGTCAACATTAAAGATAGTAACAGCTTGGCAGCAACTCAGAATGTGGAGGTTTGAGCTAAAACTGACATCAGAGAAATTTAAGGTGGATTTGCTGTTGTTGTTTTTGGGGGAAATTAATGTGTACTCACTCATGTAAGATATTTTCAAGAGAGAAAACTTGGATCACTCTTATAAAGTATATTTCTTGGCACCACACTGTAATTGTTTTTGTTTGTTTGTTTTTTTGTTAAACTTTAATCAGTTGTATTCAATTTCATTTTAATTTTATAAATTCAAATATAAAACTCTGCAGTGAATGGGTGCCGTCAGAATGAGAGTCCAAACAGCTGATAAAACATCACAATAATCCACAAGTAATTCACACAACTCCTTCAGTGAACATCTTATAGTGAAAAGTGAAAAGCTGTGTTTTTGTAAGGTACAAATCAATTATTAAGACATTTTTAAATTAAAACCTTTGCTTCTGGCCATAATACGAGTCCATAATAACTCTTTCTCCATGCATTGGTGAGCAAGTGTAATGCTATATTCTCTAAAACTGTTCCCATGAAGAAACAAACTCTTCTACATCTTGGATGGACTGAGGATGGATACATTTTCAGCAAATTGTCATTTTTGGGTGAACTATTCCTTTAATTATGACTCATTAATGACCAGTCCTGCTGATTCAAGCAGATTCTTATCAACATTTTAGTGTCATCTTTTAAAGCAAATTCCTTTTGTTTTACATCAACTTCTTTTTTGGCTGATCTAGGAGTTCTTGACTCTGACTTTAGACGAGATCCTAGTTTAATTGCCGTCTTTCTTAAAATATGGCTCATGAAGTTATTTATAGCCTAAATGTACGATTAAATTGGTAAAAGCAAATGCGCCGCTTAATCCACTCTCCCGCGCAATTTGTCACAGCCTCACAGAACTAACCGGGACTACACAGATTAGTGATATCACTCCGCAGTATCACTGGGTGACGCGGTCCGCACCTGAAAAATAAAAACAATAATATCTCTGCGCTGTCGGTACGCGGTCACCGGTCAGTCTTGTTTATCTTGATAATACCTTTAAAAAATGTTAAAGAAGCTTTCAAAAACTTTCCGTCTTTCAGTATCAAACGATGTGCAAATCCAGCGTCGAGCTGGGCCTTGTTTATAAAACATTTGTCACCGAAATGCCCGAAACAAAAAAAAACACTTGCGAAACTCCGTTGCTGTCCCGGAAAAACAAATTGCATCCACTGTTCACGTAACGCCGGGTTCTTTGGAAGCTGAACAAGGTTATCTTTCCCTCACATCCAAAAACACACTAGGTTTGAGCTAAAACTGACATCAGAGAAATTTAAGGTGGATTTGCTGTTGTTGTTTTTGGGGGAAATTAATGTGTACTCACTCATGTAAGATATTTTCAAGAGAGAAAACTTGGATCACTCTTATAAAGTATATTTCTTGGCACCACACTGTAATTGTTTTTGTTTGTTTGTTTTTTTGTTAAACTTTAATCAGTTGTATTCAATTTCATTTTAATTTTATAAATTCAAATATAAAACTCTGCAGTGAATGGGTGCCGTCAGAATGAGAGTCCAAACAGCTGATAAAACATCACAATAATCCACAAGTAATTCACACAACTCCTTCAGTGAACATCTTATAGTGAAAAGTGAAAAGCTGTGTTTTTGTAAGGTACAAATCAATTATTAAGACATTTTTAAATTAAAACCTTTGCTTCTGGCCATAATACGAGTCCATAATAACTCTTTCTCCATGCATTGGTGAGCAAGTGTAATGCTATATTCTCTAAAACTGTTCCCATGAAGAAACAAACTCTACATTTTGGATGGACTGAGGATGGATACATTTTCAGCAAATTGTCATTTTTGGGTGAACTATTCCTTTAATTATGACTCATTAATGACCAGTCCTGCTGATTCAAGCAGATTCTTATCAACATTTTAGTGTCATCTTTTTAAAAGCAAATTCCTTGTGCTTTACATCAAATTGTGAATATTCAATATCCACAACAAAACATAAAAACATCTTTAATCATTAACATTTTCTCAATATCCTATTGTTTGACTTTTTTATTGAGAACACAGTTCTAAAAATGAATAATTTGACACATGGGGCACGTTGATTTCCTCTCAATATGACATGATAGTTGGGCTGGAGCATTCTGGCATTCATACAACAGCTTTTTAGCATTTATTTTACAGAGAATGTTGACTTCATTGCACAATATGTTGACACCAGTGCTAAACGGACACAGATGTGAGCAGAAACGTATGTTTCTCTTTCAGATCTTATCAGCTGAGTGTGTGTGGCTTCAGGTGATGTGCACACAGTGAATCCAGCGAGCGCCAGCTCATACTGTATATAATAACAACGCTCAAAGTCCCAATAAAAGAGCTGTTGTGCGCACAAATGCTGTCTCTGTTCAAGCACGGTTTGTACCCCTGGTCCCCCTAAATTCTCCTACGGCATGTTTTAATAGCAGGAATCCTTTGGGGCCTCAGCTTGTGTTTGGAGATCAATATAAAAAAAAAAAACATGGACCAAATGAATAACAGCAAATCTAAAGACTGTTGTCCATTTATTGAGCTAATAAACAGGTTGTAAAAATGATCGTACTTCAACCGTAGCCAGGTCATAATATGTCTACCACGATGATAAAACAATAATATAAATCAAGAGTCATGTGCAAGTGGCTCCAAACCACAGATGAAAGACACTGGCGTAAAGCATTTGTTTCATAGGCTATTCGTTTAAACAATGGCAAGACTTTCACACTGAGAGAGAAGACATCTCTCTTGAATACGTCTCTTTGTTGCACTTAATCCAAAAGATTTGGAGAAGAAATGTCAACAACAACATTTGTACAACATTTTTGGGCATCAGAGACAAATGCAATAATAATAATAATAATAATAAAGATAATGAAATACTGAAAAAATGCTATGGTAATTGTTTAACGTTGAATTCCCTTACTTTACGGTGTAATAAGAAAGGCCTGTAAAAATACATATTGATTTTTCACAGGTGTTTTATTTTGAATTACAGATTGTGTTTAAGGTTTTAAAGAAATGTCCTTAAAAACGATATTATCTGTTTTTCTACTGACTTTTTTTTTTACAGAGTAATTTCACAGTAAAATACTGTCAAAAATGCAGTTTTTAGATGTGAAAAATAACACTTTATCTTATAATTTAACTTATTAAAAAAACGACATTCCCAGAATCCTCTGCATGACAGCTCACATTTGATGGTGATGAGTTAGCTCACTAGGTCTCAAGACATTTTTGGCCACTTAGGCGCGTGCAGCATTTTTGGGCGCTCTAGGCAGGCAGTTCACTAGTTTTGAGCCACAGCCAGACCCCTCACCGAGCGCACATACATCGCGCTGCCTCCTCACGCAAACTTTACGCTCTTCTCTGCAGTTCAGACGATCATTCATGATTTTTCCCCTCACTCACAGTGGCGTGAACGCGTTGCCATGACAGCACCGTCTCTAACGGCGCTCTCCGTGATGAGTTTGCTCAGTCTGGGCTATTTGTCCCAGGACTGGACGAGTCCGAACCATCCGCGTCCGCACATTATCTTCATCATGACAGATGATCAGGGCTTCAACGACATCGGCTACCACAACAGAGACATCCACACCCCGACACTGGACAAGCTGGCAGCGGAAGGAGTGAAGCTGGAGAACTACTACATCCAGCCCATCTGCAGTCCATCCCGCAGTCAGTTCATCACTGGCAGGTAATTCACTCACTCGCTTCAACCAACTGTTTGCACCATGATTGTGGACGTTTACTTAGTATTTTTGTCACATAAATATGGTAATGAGTGGTAAATAATATCAAAGCACCATGGCATTGCCATCACTGTACCTCAGTACACTCTTAAAAATAAAGGTGCTTCACGATGCCATAGAAGAACCTTTTTGTCTAAATGGTTCCATAAAGGACCTTTAACATCTGAAGAACCTTTCTGTTTCACAAAAGGTTCTTTGTGGCGAAAGAAGGTTCTTCAGATTATAAAAAGGTAAGAAAGAGATGGTTCTTTAAAGAACCTTTGACTTCTCTTTGTGGAAGCAAAAATGGTTCTTCTGTGGCATCGCTTGAAGAACCTTTTGAAGCACCTTTATTTTTAAGAGTGTACATCACAGTCTGTTTTTTTAAGGGTGATATTGTTACAATAAAGTGATTTACATTGTCAGAATCATTTAAGGCAGTGGTTCCAGGTGGCGGGGGCCCACTAGGGGGCCTCAAGATGACTTAAAATGATGTGATTTGTATAGACCTGGAAAAGTTGTGTAAATTCATAAATCTTATAAACCTGTGGGCATTTTTATACATTTTATGAATATACTTTTTATGCCAAGTTATGCCAAGCTCTAAAATATTTGATCAGAAACTGTGAAAAATGATTAAAAAAATTCTTATGGAGTAAATCAGTAACAACTGGAAAAGTCATGGGGCCTTTGAATGTTGTCGTGGACAATGTGGGGCCTGGGAGTGAAAAAAGATCCACTGATTTAAGTAAACTATTAATCGTTTAAAAATAGGGTAATTTTCATCAACGATATTATATTTGGTCAAACATACACTAATAAAAATGTTTAGTATTCAGACCTATTTGTGTATCAGTTTGAGTGATTCTTGAACACAACTGACTTGAATGCTTCATTCTAACATCACTCTTATTTGTGAGCAAGTTCTGCTCTACAAAAGAGCAATATTTTAGCCAATAAATATTTTATGGTAGAACGTAACTTGAAGAACTTATTTAATTAAGTTTATATGTACACCAAATCAAATTTATATGTACACCACTTTTCACAATACACATTGTTTTAAAGCAGCTTCACAGAAAATTGTGATAAAACTAATGTTCAGGTTAGGAAGGTCAAGACAGGGCAAAGTTTATTTAATAGCACATTTCATACAATTCAAAGTGCTGAACATGAAAATAATTTCCCTGACATTTTCAGGTCATGCACAAAGTAAATAAATCAGTTATGTGGAGTCCTGATGTCTATGGCAATACAGTGTGTGAAATAAATCAATCAATCCATGTCTGTGCTTGTGACGAGATGTGTTTGTGAGTTCTGATCCATTTATATTCCTTTCCCTTTCCGCTCTAGATATCAGATCCATACCGGTCTCCAGCACTCGATAATCCGCTCTCGGCAGCCCAGCTGTTTGCCCTTTGACCTCCGGACGTTGCCGCAGCGGCTGCAGGAGGCGGGATACGCCACGCACATGGTGGGCAAATGGCACCTGGGCTTCTACAAGCGTGATTGCCTGCCGACCCATCGCGGATTCCACACGTACTTCGGCTCCCTGACAGGCAGTGTGGATTATTACACCTACAAGTCGTGCGACGGGCCGGGAATTTGCGGGTACGACCTCCACGAGGGTGAGCGTGTGGCATGGGGTCAGGGAGGGCGTTATTCCACACATTTGTACGCGCAAAGAGTCCGAAAAATCCTTGCTGCTCACGATCCTTCATCCCAGCCTCTTTTAATTTTCCTCTCTTTCCAAGCCGTGCACACGCCATTGCAGTCACCAAGGGAATACGTCTATCCGTATCGACAAATTGGAAATGTGTTTCGTCGGAAATACGCCGGGATGGTTTCGGCCGTAGATCAGGCGGTAAGGAATGTGACGTACGCGCTCCGAAAGTATGGCTACTATAAGAACAGTGTCATTATCTTTTCTACAGATAACGGTGGACAGCCGCTCTTTGGTGGGAGCAATTGGCCTTTACGGGGAAGAAAGGGAACGTATTGGGAAGGAGGCATCCGTGGCATTGGATTCGTCCATAATCCGTTGTTGAGACGCAGGAAGAGAGTTAGCCAAGCTCTGGTTCACATCACCGACTGGTACCCAACGCTAGTGGGACTCGCAGGAGGGAACGTTTCCCGGATGGACGGGCTTGACGGATATGACATGTGGGAAACCATTAGTAATGGGAAAGAGTCTCCACGTTTGGAGATCCTTCATAATATCGATCCTCTCTACAACCCTGCCTGGCACGGATCTTTAAAAAATGGATATGGGATCTGGAATACGGCCATACAGGCAGCGGTTCGAGTTGGAGACTGGAAGCTCTTGACCGGAAATCCTGGATATGGAGAATGGATTCCGCCTCAGATGCTGGGAAACTTTCCGGAATCTTGGTGGAATTTGGAACGCCACACGGAAGCGAAGAAATCCTTGTGGCTCTTCAATGTGGCGGACGATCTGTATGAGCGTTACGATCTTGCAGAGCGCCGGCCAGATGTGGTCAAGCAGCTGCTGGCCCGTTTAGCGTTCTACAACCGGACTGCCGTTCCGGTGCGCTACCCTTCGGAGGATCCTAGAGCCGATCCAAGATGCAACGGAGGGGCTTGGGGTCCTTGGGAAGGAGATGAAGAAAACTGGGAGGCGTTTTATCTTAGAAAGAGAAAAGTCAAGAGGCAAAAGCGCAAGTTCTGCAAAATGAAGTCATTTTTTTAGAAGACTTAACATTCGAATGATGTCAAACAGGATTTGAACAAACACGTCCTACATGAACTGACAATTACAAATGCTGCTGACAGTAACACATTATCATTTTAGGGACTTTGATTATGAATTTGCCTGGTATGGAGTCACTAATTTGAATTTGAGTCCCATGATCACATTCACTGAAGCATGTGTTTCTGCTTACTTATTTTGACCATCCACATAATTTCTTTGAGCAGATTTTGACCCCTGCGGTTTTCTGATAATGTGACCTCGAACCCCTGTGCAATGAATGTTGAAGGAATCAGTGAATGGATTTTGTATCCTCTGATCTGGTGTGCAGTGTTTGCACCTCATATTTATATAAAATACCTGCTAGGAGACTAAAATGAATCTGTTAAGTTGTTTTGAGCATGTATGTGACTGTTTATGTTTGTTTGCTACCTGATTCTACCTATTCTGGATACAAAAACTCACAGTGTTTTGCATAAATAAAATGAACGTTTTCAAAAGACTCAGATTCTCTTGTTCTGAGTTTATTGTAATTTCCAGTGGACTGATTGCCCTCTAGTGGACACCTGAGATTTATTTATTTAGACTACTAGTGGACAAATTAAAGTGTGTACATTTGCTAAGCTTGCTAAGCTATAGCTGATTTCTTGATATTTTTTTTTTTTAACATATGCGAAGCATATCGCCTGTTTACCTATAAAAAACACTGGTTAGGGGCCTTCTGGGACTGCACTATAGCTGCACACAGAGACAGTATAAAGGGCTGCTTGTTAAGTGTGTGTCTTTCAGAGAAATGGGCCTCTCAGAGGAGGGCGCCAGACTCTGAACTGAGAGACTTCTGATTCTTAACAGCTTCATTTTATTGAGATGCCTACTGTACTGGTTTGACTCCTGACCATATAGAAATTCTTTAAAAATTAAGATTTTTTTTTTGTTTAAGTTGAGAGTTTATTCAAGCTGTAAAACTATTAATGAAGTCATTATGTACATTAACAATTTGCTAAAACTACTGTATATAAGTGGCACTCTGTTGTGCGGCAGGATTTTGAACAGCCTTTATTATTAGAATATTTTTCCCCATATCTATATTTATCACAATATTCATTTACCATTACCATGTTTCTTAGACCTTGAGAATTAATGTTTAATTTGCCCCATGAAATCCCTGAAATGGTTCTTTGTGTTAGAGTTTAGGGTTCTGTAACTGTATCTGTAACTGTCAAATGATTATTGATTTTGGAGCTCAACCAAACTATAGTCTGTCAACACACTCTCAACAGGTAAATTATTTAATTATTAAAATGTCTATACATTTTTAATTTTCAAATTGTATCTGGTTTCCTACCAATTATGTCTTTTCTCTATTTTGTTTTTTATTTTTTAACAGAACACCTCTAAAAAAATTGTACACCTCTGTTCAGTTGAGGAAATTTCTCTCCTCTTCTTTATTAAGTAAGTAACAGACATATTGGATTTATGATTTAAACTGTTAGTTTTCATTTATTAGTATTACTTGGGTTTAAGCACAGACATTCCTAGTCTCTCACACACACACACACACACACACACACACACACACACTAAAGCTATCCTATGACTTTTATACATAAAAAAAAAAAAAAATTAGTTTATCATAATATTGCTTGTTAATGTTATTAATGGAATCTTTTACAGTATATTTGGGGCTCCTTGGTTGGCTAATTTTCCAATATTTCATAACAGGTTTGTACTCATCCTGTTTTATCGGTTTGATTCATACGTGTCATTTGTTTAGTCTCAGTTAGGTGCTATAATCTATTTCATCTATAAAACTCAGTTTACGTAGTCTACTATTAAAATATAAGCTAGCATTACAATATAATAAGTTCTAACAGAGACCGTTTTTATAAATATGATATATTTAACATGTTAAATCATCAAAACAGCTCAATTATTACACATATTAGGTGAATTTATCGATCTCATGATATTGATATGATACATCACACCCGCGCGTGCTCCCGCTTGTGAAAGTCTGTACAAAGGTGAACGAGTCCGAAATACGGGTTACTGCGAGTCAGACGAACCACCAATCACAGGCTTCCTAACGGTCTGTCCATTCGGAGGGCGCCTCTGATTGGTGGAGATTTTGGCGACCAAACACAACGGAGAAAGTAGTAAACGCTGGCCGTCAGAAGAGTTCGGTCTCATACAGGTCAGTAGTAAAGCCAGTTTAAAGGTCATTCGCAGTTCCTGATGTATTTTATTCTTTATTGAGTAATGAAATGCATTGTATAGTAGCATAATAGCAACTGTTTTATTGTTTTGCCACATCGCGACGTGTCATTAATGCGTATGGCTGACAGCAGAAGAGCATGTGTGTGTATGGAACTGAAATATGACACTATGAACTCCTCTTGGTTCCAGTTTCGTATTTAGCTGTTGTTGCTTGGATATGTATTTTCATAATTTAATAAATGCACATTGTGTGAAGTGCCAACCTTTATTTTAAATCAGCATGTGTTTTGTAAAGAGCCTCTGTGTTTTCTTAGTTTGTGAATTAAGAGACAGAAAGTCATTTGTCATATGTGTATGACTACATACTGAGACTGAAGTTCTTAAATTAAATTACTGACCTCTAAATGCATTCATCATGTGGCTTAGCAAAACTACTGTTATAGAAGTTGGTTGTCATCCTAGAAATTGAGCATTAATCTGTCTTAAAGTATTGTGGTTGTTACTGAATGTTGTCTTGCAAGAGATCCATCGTGTCCCTTTTGACCTTGTTGTATGGCAACAGCCATGTTTCTGTTTATTGTTTTCATTCCCAGCATCCCTCCTACCTGGGGAAATCACCTGTGTGCATAAATGAAAGGTTTAGTATTAAACAATAGGGTTTCATGGGGGGAAAAATGCATGCAGTTTCATGCAATTTCAGATTTGCCACTATTGTGAAGCCGTAGTGTACAGTATGATTGTAGATCATCTCTTGCCCTCATTGTGGTTGTGTTGATGGGTGGTTGTATTTTGGTTTAAGGCATTGTGATTCATATGTACTTTGGTATTCTTGCAGAGCTTGTTTGGTGTGGTCATTGTGTTGCTAATGAACAGGTATAGTGGAAACTAAGGGTTTGGAAATGGACGCCTGGTAAGCAGGACAAAAGGTCACGGGCGTCTGCCGTCTGAGCGTGTGAATGCGTGCCTGTAGCTCACACCTGTTCATCTTTATTAATAATGTATGCCGTTGATTGTTGTATTCATTCATGAATTTTATATGAAGGTCGCATATCTTTCAAGAATTTATAAGCGAGATGGCAGTGTATATTTTGTCAACACTCGTAAGTAGAGTAAAACTCAACCTTTGTCCCGGTCAGAGGCATGTGATAGATATCACAAGGTCAGACTGATACTGCCTGTCTGATTTAATCTGGTTTATTGCGTTTATTATAGTCTCAAGCTGTAAATAAGATCTGGAGACCCATGATGCAACATGATTGTCTAATGTTATGATTATGCAATAGCTGCAGCACACAGCTAGGTGATGTTTTAGATACTTAAACTTCCCACTTCTCAGTTTGACTGGTTTTTAGTTATGTGTTTTTTTATCATGGATAGAACGAAACGTGCTGATTTGATTGGTCAATATTTATTGATGGTCATTGCTGAGGTAAGTACAGCGCTTCCTGGCTCATTTCTGTTTGTTCAGTCTCTTTGGAACTTGTCATGAAATGTTTGTCAGGTCATGTGATGCAATCTTGTCTGTCGTGTGGGTTTTGAAATTATGTAAACATTCCTTATGAATGACTGAACAAAACAAGATCTGGAGTGAATCTCAAGAACTTGTCTTGGTCATATTTCACCATAAAGCCTAAGAAATGGTGCTTTGCATAAAAATATAAGCCTATTTTAAGACCATTTTTTTGCACTACACTCTTAAAAATAAAGGTGCTTCAAAAGGTTCTTCAGTCGATGCCACAGAAGAACCATTTTTGGTTCCACAAAGAACCATTCCATTCAGTCAAAGGTTCTTTAAAGAACCATCTCTTTCTTACCTTTTTATAATCTGAAGAACCTTCTTTCGCCACAAAGAACCTTTTGTGAAACAGAAAGGCTCTTCAGATGTTAAAGGTTCTTTATGGAACCATTTAGACAAAAAGGTTCTTCCATGGCAGTGTTTCTCAACCCTGGTCCTGGGCACCCCCCAGCACTGCACATTTTGTGTGTCTCCCTAATCAAACACACCTGATTCAACTCATTAGCTCATTAAAAGAAACTCCAGGACCTGAAATGGGTGTCAGATAAGGGAGACATACAAAATGTGCAGTGTTGGGGGCGCTCAGGACCAGGGTTGAGAAACACTGTTCTATGGCATCGTGAAGCACCTTTATTTTTAAGAGTGTATACCCTTATTTTCATAACAATTAAGCACATTATTTAATATTTAAAGTCTTTAAATATAGTATTGTTTAAAAGTTTGGAGTCAGTATATGTTTTTTTTAAGAAATGAATACTTTTATTTAGCAAGGATGCATTAAATTGATCAAAAGTGCATAAAGACATTTATAATGTTACAAAAGATTTCTATTTCAAAAAATGCTGTTCTTTTGAACTTTCTATTCATCAAAGATGAATCCTAAAATAAAATTCCACATAATTATTAATCAGCACAACTGTTTTCAACATTGATTATAATCAGAAATGTTTCTTGAGCAGCAAATCAGCATATTAGAATGATTTCTGTATAGGATCATGTGACACTGAAGACTAATGATTAAAGATGCTGAAAATTCAGCTTTGCATCACAGAAATAAATTACATTTTACAATATATTCTCATAGAAAACAGTTGTTTTAAATAGTAATAATATTTCACAATATTACTGTTTTTACTGTATTTTTGATCAAATAAATGCTGCTTTGATGTTTTCTTTCAAAAACTCTTGACTTTTTAACAAAAGGGTATGAAATGGTAGTATTTGCTCTACTGCCTTTAAGGCCCGTTCACACCAAGAACGATAACTATAAAGATAACTATATTAGTGTCCACACCAGCGGACGATATCGTCTGTTTATTCCAAGCGCACACTTGTCTGCCGCTTTAAATTTTCGAGCTCGTTATAGCAGGATTAATTCTGATTGGCTGTCAAAATTTTATTGTTCATCAGTTGGAAAAAATCTCTATTGTTTCTCTGTGCTTTTATCATTATAGCTGTGGTGTGGATTCTGCTATTCTTTAAAATTGAGAACGATTTTGGGACCCAAAAGAGGTATATTACGGTAGTGAGAATTTTGTTGGAAATGGCATGAAAATAGAAATATTTCTGCAAAATTATTAGCTATATATTTTTTTTTTGAAGTGACTAAATTCACATTGCACTAAAGTTTACACTTCAAATCAGTGGAAAGCTGTCTTGTTC